ATCGTCCTCTTTTGGAAGGCCAACCAAAGTAGTTTCGCTTGCACAACGAAACACACAGCGCCTTCATGACATGGCGGCGCCGGCAACAACAATACTACAGCGAGAGTAAAAGTTACGCCTTCTTTCTTTGCGTGAACATTTGGGCGCCGTTATGCAAATCTTCCCACATCGTGACGTAGACATGTGGGGGCGTGTTAGAAAGAGCCGTTTTAGGTAGGCGTGGTTGACTCTTAACTTTTATAAAGAATATCTCTTTGAATTTGAGACTTTAGTCTTGCAACTTTACAGATCTTCTTTATGCACCAAGAGCTTGTAACACTCCAAAGAGAAAGGAAAAATTGAAATCGCATCATATGACCCCTTTAAGACTTCAGAGCCCAGTACATACACAAATGCACTATTTATATACGTATATATATATAAAAACAGTAAAAACAGTAATATTGTGAAGTATTATTAAAATTTAAAATAGTTTTCTTCTTAAAAAATATGTTAAAAAAATGATGTATTCCTGCATTAACAAAGCTGAATTTTCAAAAGCCATTACTCAGCAGCCAATACATCCATATTTTTTGCTCTTAATATGCAAAACACATTGATATTTATAAATATGACCTGCAGGAAGATGACTTAGAAAACTGGCCGTTGATGCCCTAGCCTTCCTCTACTATTACATAATATTGATCTTTTAGTTAAACAAGAGTCTATTGTCTAGCATTGTGCTGATTCTAATCATGACCACTAGTGCGTAACATGAAGGTACAGCACTTTTGTCATCCTCTGCATGCTCAGAGCCACATGGCTTTATGACTATGATATTAGACAGCAAGAACAACAGGGATTATTGGTATTTCTGTCATTAGATTGTTTGGTTAAGGAGCGAGGACAGTAATAGCAGGTGTGTGTGTTTGTATGCTAATGCTCATGTCATGCACTTTCATGTACATAAAACATTGTTGGAATTGATTGCTTAAGTTTTTTATAGAACCACCTCATTATATGGTTTTAGACACACGCACATCAGGATAAAGTTACAGCCATGAAAAAGACAACAAACAGATGTTTGTTTTTATTAGCATTGTTAGCATCACTATTATTATTCCTCCTCCGGGATTAGGGTATTAAATTCTATTAAAATTTGGCGTAACAGCACACACCCACAGTAACTAACCATGAACACTTTAGCAATGTGTTAAAACCACTGAAAATGACTTAACTTCTGCATAGCAATGCTAGCAAACACACAGAGCTACAGTACTTAGCTAGCATGGTTTAGTTTATTGGTCTAATCTGTGGATGAGATACTGGGAGTGTAATGAACTAAACCAACAGTAAATGTCAAGGTTGCTGTTTTACAAACACTCTGAAGAATAAATCTGAGAACTGAGGGCATGTGTGTGTGGTTAATGAATTCTAAGAGCTTGGACCAGGGCTCGGTTTCCCTGGTTGCAGGTAGACACAATCTAATATTCACTAAAAATCGCGTCACCCTTGTGCATCTCTAGGCAACTGGTGCCCGAGTGAACTACCTATTCTCTGCTCTTAAAAGTTATTTGTATTACAAGAGGCCACTGATTATATCACAACACAAAGCCAATAAAAAGACACAGGAGACGTTTGCACAATCTGTGGTTTGCAAGAAAGACAAACCCAACAGGATGAAAGCAGATGCTGTGCGTCTTCATGTTTGCCAATATAAAAGAAAAGAGATCAGCACATGACTCTCTTTTCATGTACATCATCAATCTTGTAAGCAATAGTTTGGGTAATGTGACGTAGTAGCACACAATACTAGTAGTATACATTTACAGGCTATTCACTAGGCTATACGCTGCCATTCAAATGTAAGTTTTTAATGTTTTTTTTTTAAGAATGAAAAATACTATAGTAATTTAGAGTAAATACTGTAGTGTTTTTGAACCATACTATAGTAAAGTACATGAATTAATATGTTGTGGTAATTCTATAGTTGCTGTGGTAATATAACTAATATAAACAAATTACTTTACCCAATACTGTACTAAGTTGTCTACAACTATAGGGTATATTATACTACAATACACTACAGTTTACTGTAGTAAAAACTAAAGTATACTACAGTATTTATTACAGTTTATCAGTTCACTATAGTTAATACTATTGTATTATACTACTATGTTAATACTACTGTATAATGCTGTAGCATTCATTAACAATGTGTTGTAAATTCTATAATATATACAGTATAATACACTTTACTATAGTATGGTTTGAAAACACTATAGTATTTACTATAAATTACTATAGTATTTTTTCATGTGGGGCCTCTTATGCTCACCAAGGCTGCATTTATTTGATCAAAAATTCAAAAGAAACAGTATTATTATGAAATATTATTGCAATTTAAAATAACGATTTTCTATTTTAATATACTTTAAGATGTAATTCACATGATCCTTTAGCAATCATTCTAATATACTAAGTTATTATCAGTATTGGAAACAGTTGTGCTGCTTAATGTTGTTTCGGAACCTGTGATACTTTTTTCTTTGATTCTTTGATGAATAAAAAGTTATAAAGAACAGCATTTATCCAAAATAGAAATGATTTCTAACAATACAAGTCTTTACTATCACTTTTTAGCACTTTGTTTACATACTTGCTAAATAAAAGTGTTAATTTCTTTCAAAAAAGAAAGGAAAAAAGTACTGACACCAAATTTTCGAACAGTTTTCTGTTTTGAATAAATGCTGTTCTTTATAACGTTTTATTTATTGATAACAAATCAGCATATTAGAATGATTCTTCTGAAGGATCATGTGACACTGAAGACTGGAGTAATGATGCTGAAAATTCAGCTTTGCATCACAGGAATAAATTATATTTTAAAGTATATTAAAATTGAAAAACATTATTTTAAATTGCAATAATACACAATATTATATCAATATTATAATTTTCTGTATGTTTGATCAAATAAATGCAGCCTTGATGAGCATAAGAGAATTCTTTAAAAACAAAAATGTAAAAAAAAAACTCAGTAGTCTTACTGATCCCAAACTTTTGAATGGCAATATATATATATATATATATATATATATACTGGTGCATCTCAATAAATTAGAATGTCGTGGAAAAGTTCATTTATTTCAGTAATTCAACTCAAAAGTGAGAAGTGCTCACTAACACAGATTTAGACAGATTTGTGAACAATATTTGAGAGAAATAGGCCTTTTGTGTACATAGAAAAAGTCTTAGATCTTTGAGTTCAGCTCATGAAAAATGGGGGCAAAAACAAAAGTGTTGCGTTTATAATTTTGTTCAGTGTATATATAGCTAGCATATATAGCAACTAGCATACTAATTTTAATAGTATGGTAGGATTCTTTTCTGAATTCAGCACTTGTCTCCTTATGAAGGACCTTTAAACTGAAAACAGGAGCAAATCAGCTCTTTCCTTATAAGGACATCACAGAAGAATCTAACAAATGCTTAGAACAGGGTTTATCACCTTTGAACACAGGAAATGATGTACTAAAGTGCAAACAGAGTGTATCAGTTAACTGTGATCATCTGATCTTTACTGCTATAAACCAAAGACATTCAGCAGACACTCTTCCACCTGAAGCAGCAAGCTTCTGGATAAAGTCTGGTTTTTAATGCCATTAGTTCAGTCTGCACACACTGAGATTTATATATTTGTTTCTTTCTTTCTTTTTGAAGTATCTATTTTGATGATAATATGCTATTTTCTTATCTACTGTATAGCAGCAGATAAAAACATGGAATCCAGCTCTGGAGAAATGGACAAAAATGGAGAGGAACTCACAGGTTTGTGAACATTCTTTTGGACATTCTATTCTATTGTGATTTCATTGTGATTAAGTTTTTTTTTTTTTTTTAACATGACATTAAGCAACTGTCTGAAACTCCGTTAACTCCTGTGGTTAAATGTAACACAGCAGCCATATGATATAAGACACCAATACTAAATGAATAATTAATAATACAACTCACAAGTAACACAAATGCGGTAAATTACATCAGACAGGACCAAATCTGACTGTACTTCACAAACAGACCTTCTCATGACATCTTTAATCTCTATTTCCGGAGATCCATTCAAACCAGTCATGCTGATTTCTGTTGTCTTCGACAGGAAGGAAGAAATCACGTTTTAAGCAGCTGAAGACACGTCTCTTTGGGAAACTGAAGAAAAAGGAAAGCGAAGGGCTGATTAAGCAAAGCCAGTCTGCTAGTGACATCACGGCTCCAGAGGGCAGAAGAGAAGGCTACGACTCTGAAGACGAGTTTTCGTAAGTTTGCATCAGTTTAAGTAATAAGCCATGAGGGCATCTAATAAAACAAACCTATCGAATCTGCAGGTTCCCGCAGGGTCTGAGCTCCAGGGCGCTTTCCCATGACAGCATCTTCATTACAGACCAGACCCCGTCCACAGAACCAACACGGGTCCTTTCACAAGAAAACGTTCATGGCAAAATTAAGGCATTACAAGTAAGGAAATGTTCTTTGTGAAGAGACCAAAAGCTTGCAAATCTTTTTGTTCGAAAGGCTTCAGATTATTTGAGCTACTCTTATTATGCTCCATCAGTGTGCTTTGTTTGTTCAATTCCATGCGGTTTATATTTTGTTTCGGCAGTTGAAACTACAGCAGCAGAACTTACATCTAGGTCCTCCTCCAATGCTGATTCCTGGTAAACGCATAGAGGACTCAGGAACCACTTCAGAGGACGATGGTTTACCTTGCAGCCCACCTGAGATGTCCTTCCATGAGCGAGTCATGCATGGAGCAGTTTACAAGGTAAATTAATATCAGAGATATGACTTTAGGTGAGGTAAAACATGTAGTACATACACTATCTAGTACTTTGCCTGTGACATTATCTTAAATGAATGGAATCCGAACGCCATTTTTCTTACAGTATCCCGAATCTCAGAAACATCTGAGCTCTCTGAGCTTAGCAGGAACAGGAAGCGAAGAAGAGGAGCAGGTAATATTCGCATATAATAATAATATAAAAAATAATAATCATCACATAGCACAACATTCAAAACAATCGTTTGCAAATTCAACACAACAAATATGGTCTCATCCAGGGTGATCCTTTACAGCCATCATCAAGACCTCTATCTCCAGTCTCCAAACTGTCCCCTCAGCCAATCATCTGTCTCGCCTCAGCCTCGACCACGCCCACTGCAGGAGCTGACTTCTGTAGCCCTGCAGGTTTCATGTCCAGGTTGGATAACTCAGCTGCCCGTCACCGCATGTCAGTCAAACCAAGGAACCAACGAGCCAGTACAAGAGGAAAACGAGTGCCAACGGTAAGATGATAAAGGTTATAAAATGCATATTGCCTTCACATGAAGCTGTATGTATAATCAGATTTTAAAGAGCATAAATTAGTTTAAATAAAAGTCATGTGACACAACATTTACACTGAACGTGTAAATTAAAAAATAAGATCACTCTCATTGTAATTGATGATGCTATGTACACTAGAATTGCTCGTTTTCTGATTATTTACTTGTTATATGCATGGTAGTTAATAGTGAGAATTGGTCCTTAAAATAAAGTGTTACCACTAATTTTAAACAACATATTTGAACATAGTCTCTCTTTCCCAGGTATCTCTTTCTCCCAGGCATCGTTCAGAAAGCATCAGTGATTTGGATAATGTTCTGTCTGAAGAAGACGATGAAACCATGACGTCCACTGAGACAGTAAACCATTACTTGTACTCCTCTCCGAATTTGGAGCTAACAGAGAAACCCACCACTCCAGAACCTACAGAGACAATTCTGGAAAAGTCTGCACAGGACCAGGAGGAGAACCCTAACAGAACTGAAATCAATTTCCCATCTCTGGGTGTTGAAATCCTGAAGTCAGAAGAGTCTCTTGAAACTGAGGGGAAAGTCACCACAAACCCTCTTTATTTGCAGCCTATGTCCTTTAGCTTGATCTCCTCAGGTCCACTGTCACTTTCAGGACTTCCAGAATCTACAGCAGCATCAAGAGAAATAGAGTCATTGAGAGCCCATTCACCTATCCAGACACATGATAGAAATTATATCCAGATTCAGACAAGTGAGAATCATGTGTCTGACACAGAGAAAAAGGAAAGCATCCAAGAGGAAGCAACATTTAGACCACATCCTGTACCTCTGCCTCGCTTAAAAAAGCACAAAATGGAAATAAGGAGCCCTCCGTCTCCAAAAGGAGTTGAGGAGGCCTCAACGAAACCTTGGGAAGCTGAAGTCGAAATTGCACCTAACACTGGATCAGTTCAGTTTTTAATTGCATCTGCAAAGTATCGCTCCAGAACAACCAGTGAGACAAAGCAGAGTGAGGGTCATTTGAAAGATTGTCCAGGAATCAAGACCCAACCCATCAAACCCAATCCAGAGTCGCAGAACGATGAAGTGAGAGAAACAAAACCAACAGAGCTCCAGAATCTCCTCCATCAAACGCAAGAGAGAAAAAGCAGTTTTCGTAGAGAAGTACCACCACCTGTTATGTCCAAACCAACAACAGGAACCAATCATAGGAAGGCAGACAGCGCTGCAGAACATGTGGAAACAGAGAAACTGGAGGAACCTGAAGACAGGAAGAGTGCTTTTGGGGTGCAGCTCCGCACAACCTCTCTGTCACTGAAATATCGCTCGGAGGTTTCCAAAATCAAGGATGAAACCAAACGGTACAGTTTAGAGTCTAATACAGTGACAGAAGTCTCAGAAGAGCATGCTGGGAAAGCAGAAACCTTTAGGAATATGTGTGACAGCAATTCCAAGAGTAAACCTAGTGTTCCCAAAAAACTAGATTCACAGAGCCTGGACTTTCCGCTTGCCGCCCAAGACTGTGAGTGTAAATAATTTCTTCTTTTTGTTATATATGTGTTGAATTGGTTCATTTGAAATTTTAGTTCGAGGAACTAGTGATGAAATAGACAAAAACACAACAAAATTATTCAAACTTTGACAAAAATCTAAATGAAAACGTAAAATGTCAAATAAAAACATATTAAAATACATTAATAAAACCTATAACAGTTTCTCAATGATGGTAAAATAACTCTACCCAATTAAATATCGAATGAACCAGTTTGTTTTACGAATCCCTCAAAAATGTTCTCACATGAATAGCATTCTGATTTTTTTATGACAGTAACAAAAAAGTGCATTTTAAGTAGCTTTAAATGTGACTCATTTTGTTAGCATCTTCTAGTATAAAAGTTGCTTAATCAGAGTTTTGACTATATACTGAACAAGAATGGCTGATTTGCACAGGAAGAGTCTGACTAACATGTACAGCAGCCAATCACTGTTTGTTTATATGTGACCCTGGAGCACAAAACCAGTCTTAAGTCGCTGGGGTATATTTGTAGCAATAGCCAAAAATACATTGTATGGGTCAAACTTATTGATTTTTGTTTTATGCCAAAAAATCATTAGGATATTAAGTAAAGATCATGTTCCATGAGGATATTTGGTAAATTTCCTAATGCAAATATATCAAAACTTAATTTTTGATTAGTAATATGCATTGCTAAGAACTTAATTTAGACAACTTTAAAGGTGATTTTCTCAATATTTAGATTTTTTTGCACCCTCAGATTCCAGATTTTCAAATAGTTGTATCTCGGCCAAATATTGTCCTATCCTAACAAACCCTACATCAATGGAAAGCTTATTTATTCAGCATTCAGATAATGTACAAATCTCAATTTCAGAAAATTGACACTTAAGACTGGTTTTGTGGTCCAGGGTCACATATACATGCCATTTAAGCAGTGGTTTTCTGTGAAATTGTTGATACAGCAACAACAGACTTCAGTGGGAAAACCTCATTCAAATAACAGCACAGCCATGTCAGTAAAAGAAAACAGAGGAAATTGTAAACAGAATGTGTTGTCCAAAAGTATAATTATTGCTAAGAATTATGCAAAACCAATCATTTCAGACATAACATAAAAACCAAAGTGAAACATAAGATTCTTCTTAGTTGATGGGCATGCCTTAAATAACACTGATTACTGTTTTACAGACGGAAGACCATCTATCCAAAACACAACAGGAGCAAGTAAAGAGGCTGTGTCTGAGCCGGGCTGGATGAGTCTAGCCAGAGAGAAGACCAGAGCCTACCAGCCATTCTTGGGCAGATTAGCCACAAATCAGTCACCAGTCCACCCTACATCTCCAACATCTCCTCCTGCACAGCCTCCCAAACCAGCCTTACAGCCTAAAACACAGCTACTGAGCACCTCGCTTCATCCACTGAAAACAGCCTGCCTACAGACCTCACCGAGACCTCCAGCAAAACCAGCACCTGGAGGAACAAAAGACTGGCAGGTAACATATGGCTGGAGAGTACAAAACACACTTGCTTAATCTCTACTAATTATAAAATACTGCCTTCTGAACGTCATAACTACAGTGGTGGCCAAAATTATTAGAACACTAGTATTTTCACCAGCTAAAAATGGTTTTAAGTCAGTTATTTCTATCTTTTGCTGTAGTGTGTCAGTGGGAAATATCAGTTTACATGTCCAAGCATTCATTTAGCCATTAATTGTAATATTCCAGTGAGATTTTTGTCTGACAACAGCCAGTGCTCCACACAGAGATCTGATCTGATCATCATCCAGTCTGTCTGGAATCACATGAATAAACAGAACAAACTGAGACAGACTCAACCCAGAAGAACTGATGCTTCAGGAGACCTACCTGCAAAGCTACCAGAAAAACTCTGCACAAGTGCACCGAGGGCAAAAGCTGCTTTAAACGCAAAGGATGCTCACACCAAATGTTGATTTAATTTAGTTAATAGAAGTTAATTGATAAAGAAAATCTATTTATGACATTATTTTTGACTGCATCCTCTTTTTACAGCATTTTTACACAAGTGCCTAAAGCTTTTAACAGTGCTGTAGCTTTGCAGGAGGTTTCTTGCAGCATCTTGGAGATGTGGCCACAGTTCTTCTGGGTTGAGTCTGTCTCAGTTTGTTCTGTTTCTTCATGTAATCTCGGACAGACTGGATGACGATCAGATCAGATCTCTGTGTGGAGCACTGGCTGTTGTCAGAAAAAATCTCACTGGATTATTACAATTAATGGCAAAATGAATGTTTGGACATGTAAACTGATATTTCCAATGACACACTACAGCAAAAGATAGAAATAAAAATTTTTAGCTGGTGAAAACACTAGCGTTCTAATAATTTTGGCCATCACTGTATATATAAAATAAAATATTCAATATATTTACATTGTAAGAAAAAATCGGTAAAAAGGGCACTGGTAATTTTCTTCCAGGACATTTTCTGTTAAGTTTACAGATATTTCCTTTAACCCTAAAGCACAATGAAAAATCAATACAGAAAATTCCTTCATATTAAAAACAGTACATTGGACCATTTTTTTCTGGACATTTCTTAAACTGTTGTATGTAATTGTTGTAGATATATCTATTTAAAATTCCATTTATATTGTAATTATATTGAATTACATCATTCCTTTGTAATGTTTCATATAATATAATATCCTATCATATAATAATCATTAAGATGCATCCAGAATAATATAAGAAATAATAAAAGATTAATTATTTACTCTTTGCAGGACAAAGGCAGGAACAGTACAGCAGAAGATGACTCAACAAAGAGAGCAGCAAGACCCATAGCATCTAACAACAACACAGAAGGTAAAGCACTGCTTTGACTTTCATTTTTAAGTGTTTGTACATTTTTTGCGTTTTAAAGTTTACCATTTGGCATTAATATTGTTGTTTGTGTATGTTCTTCTGTAGTAGCACTTACTGTCACATCTGAGCCTCCCGCAACCTCATCATCATCATCACCAACAGACGTCTCTCCGCAGCAGCAGCAGCAGCCACGGTCAGATGGAGCTCAGCCGTCCTGGATGGAGCTCGCCAAGAGGAAGTCTTTAGCCTGGAGTGACAAAACTTTAGAATTGAGCTGAGACATTCAGTGATGAACTCTGAATGAATGAATGTAATACTGTGTGTGTTTGTACATGACTGATCGAGTGTGAGAGAGTGATAGATTTAAAAAAAAATTAGAATTCATTTGCATTAATAAGATGTTACTTAGATTTACACAAATGTTTGTAATGTGATACATGGTTACTGATCAAGCTTTGTTATATACATAATCCTTATCAAAGAAGAACATGTATATATGGAGTTCATCATCATCTTTGTAGTATGTTGTTACATCAAAACAGCTGATTCCCAAATCTGATACAGTGATAATAAACTATGAAGTTAAACAGTAGACAGTGTGGGCCGAGTCATTGCATTATATAATAATATATCATCGTGGCATAACAAAATGCAATATTACACAAACACATTTCAAGCAAAATAAACCTGTTTTTACAAGCATATTATTTGATTGTTTTATTAATTAATTAATTAGTTTATTTTTATTTCAAGATTACAATATTCAGCAAGTTCTCGCGATATCTCACAATTGTTCCATTTTGCAAGCACAAATAGAAAAACAGCAATAACAATAAACTAACAACAAAGGATGAAGGGCATCACAAACATAAGTTAAATTCATTTAACAGAGATCAGTTTTAGGGCTTTTTGATATTTTAAAAACTTTACAGATTCTAAATAAACTTGACATTTTGAAAATGAGCAAAATTAGATTTTGAGTTATTCCATTTGATCTGATGAATATAAAATTTTCCTAACAACAAAAACAAATTCATCAAATATATATATATATCTTTCTTTTGGAAAAGTCGTGTTCATTTTAACGAGGTAAGATTTTAAAGAAAAAAAAGAAAGAAAATATATAATATATTTCACAGGATACATCCTGAGAGCAATTTTAGTTTTATTTATAATACAATAACGACTAAGAACTTTCCAAAACTGTTCCCACACAAATGAGTGAAACATATTTACAAAAGATATTAACATGGAGAGATATAATTGATTAGCACACATATCATTAATTAAATCAAATTTATCTAAAAACAAATGTTTGAAAACCTTACTTCCTTACTTACACCTAGTACCATGATTTCTGAACAGAGAAAGTATTTTGCCAGAAACAGAGGTCATGACAATACGTCATTAACCGGAATATGGCACTTACATTTAACACATAATTCACTGATACTCAAAAGCTGTCCATTAGAATTCAACCTACTCTACGAGAACATGATGCTTACACTGCACTCTGGTGGATGCATTATACATAATCTACAAGAGTGTCAATATAACAAATCCATAGTAATTGAGAGGAGCTCAATGGACACGGCTTGTCAAGGGATCCCACACAAGGACACAAATTCCGTTCAAATTCGGATGACAGGTAGCAATATGTTATATTAGCCTACCTGCTTTTTAAAAATCTCATATATATTGCTCAACATTCATTTAATGAATATTGGCCTACCCTTCATCATTTAATGAAATACACAAAAAATAAAAGAATAAAAAATAAAACATCAACCTTCTTAAACATACAGTATCCTCTATACTTTGCAACGCGGTTTCTCACATAGGCTAATCCATTCAAAATCTAAAGAAACGTTTTTCTAAGTCTAGTTTTTCTAGGACTAAACGTCCACGTATAGCCTACTGTTTCAGGAAAGACAAACGTGAATGTAAAAATACGCCAGTGAATTCGCTACATTTTTCCGCGAGTGACTGCTATGATGGACAAGCCGATGTAAAAAAATAGAGTTGTGTATCAAGTGATTCGGACTAAATTTACAAAACTACACCAGTAATAAATCTGTGTTCGCTGAATGCATTTAGCAGCTCCTACAGTTTAAACATAAAATACTTAATGCATTATTTAATTATTATACCGATTATTATTATACCATTATTATAATAATTAACTTATTGGTAGTTAACCAGTTAAGTAAATAATTAACCCTTCTTAATGGTTGGTGTCTGGGCTTATTTATTTATTAAAGGGGTCCTACTATGCTTTTTCACTTTTTCAACTTTAGTTAGTCTGTAATGTTGCTGTTTGAGCATAAAAAAGATTCTGCAAAGTTACAAAGTTCAAAGTCCAATTCAAAAGGAGATATTTTATTTAACAGAAATCACTTTTCAAAAACTACAACGAACGACTCGTTTGGACTACAACGCATCTTTTCCGGGATTTGTGATATCACAAATATCGACGAATGGGACGAGACCTGGTTGAGCTGCACTAGGGAAGGCAAAGAGTGTTTTCACTATGTCGGAGACACGCTAGCTTTCCCAAGGCAGACGAACTTAGAGTGGTTACAATCAAATCAAGACTTTGTAAAAGAGCATAATAGGACCCCTTTAAATGGCACACGACTTTGTGACTTCTTGCACTTGCTATACGTCATACTTTAGTACAGTAAAAGTACTACAATTTGGTATAATAGTCATTTTATAATAAATGCAAAAGCAAGACGTGACAAACTAGGGAGTGGAAATGACAACTGAGCTGACAAGTGATCCTCTGCTGCCATCTACTGGCTATAATTTCATGTTATTTTCATCTTAAAAGTATTTTTTTCCCCACCCGGAGACACTTTTTTCTTTAAAGTGAATTTTACTGCACAACTGTAGAGTTAAAACATAATATAGCCTTTAAAATATTTGAAGTGTTTAAAAAATGTGCAACATGGACGAACAGCCCTCAGAGGGTTAAGGGAAGTGTGTAATTTTTTAAATATATAACCCATTTTCATGTATTATAAAATGTATGTAAGAAATTGTACTTTATGCAAGTATAATCAACAAGATCTTAATAAAGAGTCCTTTAAGTTTAAGCTCTACAAAAAAAAAAAACGGTAACATGCTCAAAGGACAAAATCTCACTCCAGCCAGGCAACCAAAGTTGTCAACCGTGGGTAAATAAGCACAATGTATGGCTGCTGATGGAATTGTCTTGTTTACAAAGTGAATTAGACCTATATAATCATGCTAATGTCTAATAATTGTGTCTAATGCACATGCACATCCACCCATCCACTTATCATCCACACTTTCATTCCATTTAAGCCATCCCTTGAATTTCAACAGAAGAACACCAAAGAAAGCTCTCAAGCAGCTGTCATCAGAAGAGGGAGTCAACCTGGCAAAGAATAATGACGCATAAAGATAGCAAAAAACTAGGAATACACAAAAAGGGAGCAAAAGAAGAAGGTGAGTAGAAAATGAGTAGTGGATATGTCAGGCTGTTTGAAGTCGGGCATTGTATTGGGGCGTTATTGTGTCTGACGGCGAGCGATATAATGAAGATGAAGAAAGTGAGAGATGGGGCTGATGTTAATAATGCGTCGACCCCCCGTTGCTCCGACTCACCCTCTTCATCGCCTAATTGACCGGGCAGGGTCCCCTGAGCCCTCTGTTATTATTTATTAACAATTCAAAGATAAATAATTCACCACTTGGAAAACAAGCTAGCGGACAGAGGCTGTTAATTGAGCATTGGAAGGGAATGGCGAGGCCTCTGTCCTGATTTAACACCATCCTGGTGTTTTCATCTCTGTTTCTTTCTTTGTCTTAACTTTAGATCATACTACGTGCAAATCAGGCAGTACTTATCTTACTTTAGGAGCAGACACATTTAATGTTGTTTAGCGAAATTTCATGGACGAAATGTCAATTCCACACTATTGGAAATTTCACATGAAGACGAAATTTTTCAAATGCAGATTTCGCAACCAGTTGAAGTACAAAAAGCTCACTCATAAGTTATATTTATTTGTTTGTTTGCTTATATATTCATTTTTGTGAAATGGTCTTTTGTGCTATCATCTATGCAAAGTTGGTGCAATAAAGTAACATCATAGTAAACAATTACTTGTTTACATAGGATATATATATATCGTGCGTTATATCGAACAATTTTTCTATCGATATCAAAGAAGCCTATTATTTAGGCACTTATAGGCTATAGTTCAACAGAATATTCTAATTCAACTTGCCATGGGAAGTCAATCTAACTTAGTATTTTCTTATATTGATATTGTTAATTTCTTACTCCTTAACAGTTCATCAGGCTCTCAATGATTTAATCTATGCCATCTTTTGGAATATCTGAAGGCCATGTACCATAGTTCTTAACTAGCATTTGTTATAATAAGTCTAGCCTATTAATCATGCAGGCCAATAATGACTTTTTTTTTTTTAAATTAATCAATATAGCATTTGTTATGAAGAAACAACCGCCAGCACATTTAGAACCAATAGCTACAACATGCCACAGTTGTAATAAAAATCTATAGGGAAAAATCTATTCCCTTAACAGATTATCTAATATAAAATCTACAGTAAGTTAGACAACATTTTACACAATAAATAAGACTACAATGAAACATGATAAATTCTAGTAAAAGTTATATCCCCCCTAACCCCCCCACAACCTATGCCCCTGTATATGTCTATATGGTGTTTGTTAATTTTTATTTCAGTATTATTTTTAGTTATTTTGGTACATCCAGCTAAGCTAAATGAAAATGACAAATATTGCCTTGGCAGCTAGCTGAGATTTATTTATTTATTAAATTTTCAGTTATATTTATTTATAACATTGTGGCACCACTAACTTTTTTTTTTTTTTTTCAGAAAATTAAAAAATCTATTTAAACAAATTTTACAAACTTTAAAGGAATATACTGGGCATTTCATGCTTTTTCAACAGTCAAAATAGATATTGAAAACTGTAAATTGTTTGTGTTAAATTATTTACGACGTAATGTAATCTACAGTAAATAGGGATTAGCCCTCCTGTTATATTGACAGAACAAGAAAAGCTTGAAAACTCCACCACAGGATTTTCAAAAAACTATCTTATTTTTTAAAAAATGTCTCATGCTTATATACGGCATGCTAAGTTTGATCAGCACGGTTCTCTAGGGCTTTAGATCATTAATAAACCAATCTTGATTCAAAGCAGCTAATGCTTAAAGTTTGCTTTTCACTGAAATACAGTTTCTGCTGGGATATAATAAGTCAGAGAAATAGCCCTCTGAAGGTCTTCTTTAGCTTGCATCTCA